TTTCTGATCCCTGAATGCTGTGATTGCAGGGACCGTGATGCCAGGTTTAGGAGTTTTAAAAGGAATTCAAGAGCTTCAGCCAGTCTTATATTTTTTTTAACTTTGAACATATACAAAGTAAGCAATCTTTAGTTAAAGATATGTTGTGAATGTCTAGGATAGAATGTTCTAACATGAAATCATCTGTACAATGGCTTCCGCTTTTCTACCAGCTGTGTTCATCTCTGCCTCTTCCCTCCACTTGGAATGTGACCTGCTCCTAAGTGCTTCCCATCCCCCTGTCCTCACCTTGTTCCCTACCCATGGTGAAGTCATGCACCCTGGGGACAACCGCTTCGCTCTTACCATCTGTACCTTCAGGCTCACGCCAGTTCTGGATCCCTCTCTGAACACCTTCCCAGGGAGGTTCAGCTACTGGGTTCTTCCTTATACCAGGGTGTCTTTAGGGGGTGCATGGCCTAGGCCTCCACCCATCACATGGCTCCTGAGATAGGACTCTGTCTTCTGTTTCTTTTATTCCTCCTCCTCGTTGGGGAACAGGATCCTGTATAAAACCTTATTGCTGCCTGATTCTGCAGAGCAAGATCTCAAACTTAATGAGATGCTATAACTCAAATATTAAAATTAACTTTATTTTATTTGTGCTATTGTATTTTATCATTCAGGTCACTGAACTTAGAGGCAAGGACCTTTACCGTCTCACTAATTCCCAGCAAAGAGTTATTGAGATTTCCCACAAGCAGGCATTGCAGTAATGTGCAGAAGACTTTCTGTCATTTAAAACTCTGACAGGAACTCCAAGAATTTAGTTTTTTCCTCCTTTGAAAGGTGAAAACCCAACACTAGTGCTAGGGATAGAGCTCAGTAGTAAAGCATGAACTTAAGGGAACTTAAAGCCCTGAGTTTGATTCCCAGCACCATATGAATGGGGGAAATTTAGCTTGCACAGGCCCCGAATTTGATTCCACAAGGAGTCAGGAAGGCTTCTAGGGAGGGAAACCAGGCCAGCAGACCTAAGTATAGACAAGAAATTCATACAGACATTTGAGGATGATTAAAGGTAAGCCCAGAACATCCCCTTTCTGTTGTTAGGTCTATGGAGGTCCAGAATTAGCACGCTTACCTGTACAGCTGGAGAACAGCTGGAGGAGGAGCAGCAGGGAGAGGAGGCAGCTAGACAGAGAAAAGCTCCACAAACTGGCCATCTTTGTGGTTTCTGGGGACAGAGTCCCTGGAAGTAGGGTTAGGCCAAGCAGAGGTCCCCAGGCTGCATGTCGGGAGGATCTAGGAGGGCACTACTGCCCAGGCCCTACCTCCATCCGGGCATTACCACAGCTGTGCCCAGAGGAGTGGCCCCACGTCACCCCTGCCAGACATTTGCACAAAAGGACTACTGATCCACTGATGACCAGGGTTTGCCTCTACTCCCCCCTCACAGCACTGGAGCAGCGGCTGACTGGTACTGGGCCGTTTCCCTTTTCCCCTCCCTGGATGCAGTCGTGGGATCTGTAGAGTCTGTAAGGCTTGTTTAATTCCTCTTGCTACCAAGAACTATCTGGGGGAGAGTGACCATTGAAGGCTTTTAAAAATAAAAAAAAGAATCAGTCTTGACTTGAGGTGTCTATTGTCTTTGTGTGGGTGGCATATCATGTATACCAGCCTGGTCACAAACTAATATAGCACAGGATGACCTTTAATTACTGATCCTCTTGTCTTTGTATCCTTCCTACTGAGATGCTAAGATTTGTAACCACCACACCTTGCCTAGTCTCCTCTTTCTCTTCCTTTTCCCTAACTCCCATTCTGAGACAAGGTCTGCCTGTGGTTGACTGCCCCGGAACTTGACAAGTAGACCAGGCTGGACTTGAACTCACAAAGATCCACCTGCCTCTCTGTCTTGAGTGCTGGTATTAGAAGTGTGTGCCACCATGCCCACCTCTTCTTCTCTTTTGCATATATTTGTAAGTGTGGTATGAGTGTATCTTTTTGGTTTGTTCAAGTGTGTGTGCATACGTGTGGAGGCCAGAGGTTGACATCAATCCGTCTTCATTTTATTTACTGAGGAATATTTATTTATTTTCAGTCTCTCACTGAACCCATCTGAGCTGGGGTTATAGGTGGACCCTCATATCTGCCCAGTGTTTTAAATGGTGGTGCTAAGGATCTAACACCAGTCCTCACTCTCGTGTGGCAAATGCCTTACCCCTGAGTCATCTCCCTGGCACCACCATTCTCTTCTCTGTTTCACACATGCTCTGTCCTGTGGCAAATCCAAACTCTCATCTTTATTCTTAGACATGAGACAGTTCACTTGAGTTTAGCCAGCTTCTAATCAGGAAAGGATGCATGTGACTTTTTGTTGTTGAAAATTGGTTTTTGTTTTGTTTGTTTGTTTCATTTTGAGATAGGGTCTTACTCTGTAGCATAGGCTCACCTGAAACTTGCTATGTAGCCCAGGTTAGCCTCAGATTTGCAGGGATCTTCCTTTCTCTGCTTTTATCATGCTGGGGTTGCAGAGGTGTGAGCCATTGTGCCCAGCTCTCAAAGGTTATACCTGAGAAAGTTGCAAAGTGTACAATAAGAGCTGATAGTCGTTTGTGCCCAGTAAGGCAGCCCTGATGAGAGAGAGAACCAGCAATTGTCAGTTAACATGGGCTTCAGGAACAGGTCCAGCATGCAGACACATGCCCAGCCTTAGCATAGTTCACAGCTGAAAATGATATCTGTAATGAAGATACAACCTTCTTATTCTGTTGTTTTGAAATAGGGTCTTACCTGGCTTGTAACCCAGGATCCTCCTGCCTTAGTCTTCCAAATGCTAGGGTTATAGGCCTGTGCCATTATGCCAGGCATGGCTTATTTTCTTTTTCAAACATGGAATTAGGTTGGGTTGTTTATTATTATTGTTGTTGTTATTATTATTATTATTGTATGTGTGCATGTCTCTTTTATAAAAATAGCACTTGTTGCTATTTTTGTTTTTGATGGCAGCCATTTTGAGTGGGGTGAGATAGAATCTCAAAATTACTTTAATTTGCATTTTTGATTTTTCTAAAATTTATCTTGGAGATCTTTCCTTATCAGCACCCAAATAATACTCTTGTTATTTCACACAAATGCACAGTATCTTGTTGTGTAAACATTTCATACATATCTAACTAGACATTCCACAATGTTTAGGTTGCTTCCATTAAAAATTAATCTACTAGGCTGAAATAAAGAATGTATTTAGTTAAACAACCATTTAGCAGCATGATACATGCTGGGCTTAATTAATTAAATACGATAATCTTGTAGGGTTTAGGGTTCCCAGAAGCAGGGTAAGAGACATATCCATTAGTGACTCCCTGAGCAGTTTAGGATGCCCAGTCTCCTCCCAGGGACAGAAATAACTCAGGTACCCTTCCTCTGTCCAGTAATTAGAGTCCTGAAGTTCCCAGTCATTGGCTTTATAAGATGTTTATTATGAAGGAGGAGTCCAGTTCTAAAGTCTTCAATCTGTTAACAGATTTTATAAAAGAAAGCATTTAAATGGGGCTTGCTTACAGGTTCAGAGGCTTCACCCATGATCAGCATGGTAGCATGGTAGCTTGAAAGTCCTACATCTGGATCCATGTGGAGAGAAGGAGACACTGGGCCTGGCTTGAACTTGAAACCCCAAAGCCCCACCCCCAGTGACATACTTCCTCCAACAAGGCTACATCTCCTAATTCTTATCAATTAGGGCCTTTCCTTAGCAACCAAGCATTCCAATGTATGAGCCTATGGAGGCCAATCGTATTCAAAGCACCACATCTACTAACGATTAAAATGTTACATTTCAAGTGTTCTCAGCAGGGCAGGCAAGGAAGTGTATACTATAACGTCAGCATTTGGTATAGACAAGCTGCTATTTGGCTACAAAGTACAGTGAAATCAAGAACAGCCTAGCCCTAAACAATATGGAAACCCCAAATAAAACAAAACAAATGAAAACAAAAGAAATTTCTTATATGTCTTCTGTTATTGTAATAATATTAATATGAAAAGTTATCACATTTTTATGTTTTAAAGAGGAAGTCACTTTAGCATTTAGTGAGTCAGGGGAGCCAAGCACTAGCTTGATTTCCATTCTAAATTGGGGAGGGGTGGAGTACTGGTTTTGGGGTATCAACAGTTGTCCTGTGGAAGCCGCCTCTAACCCGATCGGTAGATGGGAGAGGTGTGCGGGTGGAATATCTGGGACTGCTGAGTACGAGAATTCGAAAGCACATTTTATTATGTCTTCCTCACAGTGTAAAGAATTTCTTCAGCCTGGTCTACAAAGCGAGTCTCAGGACAGCCAGAGATACACAGACAAACTCCGTTTCTAAACAAAACAAAAATAACAAAACCAAAAGAACAAAAGAGGAATTTGTTTATTGGCGTTGCAGTCACCGCGGGGAAAGACTGCTGCAAAGAATTTACCGTTCTGGATTGGAAAGCCAACAGAGAACTTTTCCTTCAGCATCTTTACCCTCTCCTCCCCACGCCTGCATTTCTGAGTTTTCTGGTGGACGCTTTACCCAACCCCTGGCGTCCATATACCCCAAGAGTCTGGAAAGTGCTGGTGGAAGTTGCACCCCAGATCCCCTCCTCCATCTCTCTCCAAACCCTGCCACGTCTCAGAAAGCCCTCCAAATGATGACCCCTCCCCCAGAGATGCTCAAGACCACTCCCACAGGTTTTTAAACTGCTCTCCACACCCAGGACAGCAGACATAAGGTTTTCCTGGTCTCTCTTTCCCGTCTCCTCTCTGGGGGTCTGGAAAAATCATCTGGGGGAGTTTTATCCATTAAACCTGGACTTTTTCTGATTCGGTTTGATTTGGTCTGATCTGGAATGCTGCATTGGCAGAGAGGTTTATCGAGGTGCAGAAACTTTTCAACGGGATATCTTTACTGTAGACCCTTGCTGGGAGGGGGCACAAGACACTTCTAGTCTGCCCAGCAACAGCTGATGTCCGTGGCCTGACCACCAGAATTGGTTGCTAGGAGGGGCCCATAGCGTCTACCAGAATCACTATGACCACCCCGCCCCCGCCAGGCAAGACCTTACTGACTTTTTTGCTTCAGACTGGCCGCTTTTGGTCACCTGCTTGTCTTCCCCTCTCCTCTTTATTTCTGATTCTGTGCAGTGTGGACCCGGGGACCAACAAGGCTGGGGAGGACCGACTGGCGGTGAGCTGTCAGTCACCGCCGTGGCTCTGACGCCAGCAACTGTGTGGGCGGGCGGTTTCCAAGCTAAGCAGCTGTCAAGTCGCAGACGGTCTTGGAACCTTACAGGCTCTCCCTGTTTTCTTTTCCCGGGGTCGACCCAGGATCTGAAAGAGTAGGCAGGCACTCTACCTTTTAATTATAGTTCATCCCAGTCCATTTTCCTAGTGGAGAAAAACTATATAATGGGGTCATTGTGTGGCCTGGAATCTCTAGAGCTCTTTGAATTCTTATTCTAATATAAGGGACCTTGTTTCTTTGTGTCAGAAGTGGAATTCTCAGATGCAGATTCCGTGTCTACACCTTCCTAGCTGACTGAGGAATGTCTCAGACTAGCTAAAGGGCCCTGCACATGGATTAAAGAAATGTTAATTTCTGTATTTATAAAATGGGAACCATTGAAGAACCAGCCTGTCCCCATCATAGGCTTAAAAGCCATCTTATAGTAAAGACAAACTAAGTTCATTCCTGTTTGTGATTAAACATTTGTTTTTTTCAAGGATTGAGCTATGCCCCACCTGTAACCTTAACTACAAGATGGTTCTGTATTGTCTATTCCAGGAATGGCAATCATGTCTTTGTTTCGAAAAGTTGTTTATAACCATCTAACAACCCTGCCTTTGCTTCAAAAGGTTCACAACTACCTATGACTACCTTGGTAAGACTACCTGTACTTGGTTGTTGTTTACTCTTTGGGGGACCCACCACCCAACTTCCAAATAAATCACACACAAAGGCTTATTTTACTTATGAATGCCCAGCCTTAGCTTGGCTAATTTCTAGCCAACTTTTTGTAACTTAAATTATTCCATCTATCTTTTTCCCCAGCCCGTTATTGGCTAATCCATCTATCTTCTGTCTCTGGGCTTTTATCTTCTCTATTTCTGTAGACTCCTCTTTACTGCTCACTCCCTAACTTGCTGTGTAGCTGGGTGACTGACCACTCCTTTATTTCTCTCTCTCTCTCTCCCAGATTTCCCCTTCCCTTTTTATTCTCTCTACCGGCCAGCCCTGCCTATCCTCTCTCCTGCCTTGTTATTGGCCATTCAGTTCTTTATTAGACCAATCAGGTGTTTTAGGCAGGCAAAGTAACACAGCTTCACAGAGTTAAACAAATGCAACATAAAAGAATGCAACACAACTTTGCATCATTAAACAAATGTTCTATGAGATAAACATATGTAAGACTTTTTTTTCCTCATTTTTTGAGTCAGCGTTTCTCTAGGTAACAGCCTTAGCTGTCCTGGAACTAGCTGTGTAGACCAGGATGATCTTGAACTCACAGAGATCTGCTTGCCTACCTCTGCCTCCTGAATACTAGGATTAAAGGCCTGCCTGGCTGAAATGTAACATTTCTTAAAATAATATTCTACAACAATTACCTGTTGCTTTGTTTTGGCCACCTGTTATGTTCTGCTCCTGTAACTTGGCCCATTTTCCCCTATTTGGAAAAACCCTAATTCTGAGCTATTAAAACCTTGTCTTCCTTACAACCAATGCTGACCGCTTGAACCCTGCCTTGGAGTGAGGCAGCCTGTGTACACAACAAAAAAGCTTGCTTTAATTAATTGTTTGCTTTAGTTAGTTTAGCCATGATAATTTGGATCAGTGGTCTTTTTCCTCCCATC